TCTCAGTACTATTTTTATTTTTAGACACAAAATAAAAATAATTAAAAAGGACACATTTGAATATTTTTTTTTATTTAAAACTGCATATACAAATATATATATATCCCTTTGATTCATACACCCTTAGTCTCACACACACAGTATCAAATATATTTAAATTAATATCATGATATTATTATGCTGCTCTTGTCTGCAGAGAAGCTCATTAAAGTTTGAATGCCAGCCCTAGGAAGAATATATACATACCATAACAAAAAACTTTAAACTATTGTGTATATATAAAGAAATACATAGATATATTTCCTAGATGTACTTCTGCAGGGTTCCTGAAAGTGTTTATTTCAAGAGTAAATAAAACCAAAGTTACGAGTAACAAATATTTTTATTTCTTGCTTTTGAAGTTTTTGTGTCATGCTGTGTTGTAGCCTACAGAATGCATAATTATTTTCATGATTCATGACATGCACACGTTTTACTGTTACATAGTACAAATTGAAACATTAACTATCTCTTATGTAACATCATATTAGTGTCTACTTACTGACTGACTGACAGACAACACACTACTGTGTGGTGGTGTGAATGGTTAAAACAGGAGACCTCTCCAGGCAGCTTCAGCCCCCTTTTGTTGAAATTAAACACCAATTTAGTTTGTGGCAGCATTAACATTAACAAGTATCTATATTTATCAGTTCATACATGGGATAATCTACATGCTACTAAATGTTTGAACTTTAAAATCAGATACTGTCCCCATATAATTGGTACCAGTAAGTTATATGCACCTGACTTAACTTGCTTTTCTTGTCCAAGGATTTTCCTGAAAAGCAGCCTTTAAGATTTTGTTTGCTTTATTTCTTTGACTTCTCAACATACTTTTTTCAAACTTTTGGTTTGGAGTTTTCCCCTAAGCATGGTTCAACTTTTCTCAGTAAAAACAATCTGAAAGCATGGTTTTACATGAGGAAAATGTATTCTTATGAATCATTTTTCTTCAAAGATGTTACTTCTTATGTTGATGAGGATGAAGGTGTAGATTTGGTGCACCTGGATTTTTGTATAAGCTTTCGACAAAGTGCTGTATAAAAGACTAGTAAAGCAATTTATCTCTAGGAGTGTGTAGGATAAGTTAGCCCAAAGGATTATCAGTTAGTTAATGGAGAGGAAGCAGACAAACAAACAAAAACTAAAGAGAACAAAAATCAAAGTTTCATTAAAGAAGCAAATCTCAGTAAATTGAACACGTAAGAAATTTAAACAAGTCCAGTCAATACATTGCCAAAGAAAAGAAGATTCACAAGTGCAAATGCACAGAGAGTGGTAATGTGCATAGAAGTGTGTCACTTTTGCAGCATGATGATGACAACATGCAGTGGCACAAATTCATGTGAAATTAGGTGGGAGTTTTCACAAGGCCAGTGGCATGCAATTCTCTGTAGCAGAAAGTGCAGAGGAGCTGAGGAAGATAGCTAAACTGTGTGAAGAGGTGAGTATTAGGCTCTCTGTGCTCTGCCCACCACGAGTATCGAAACCTGGTTTCTAGAAATGTAAGTCCACAAACAAACCGCTGTGCCACTGGGGGGTATTCATTTCAGAAACAGCCTTGAAATATCAAACTTTTATTTTACATAAACTGAAAGAGCAACTCAACCTAGAGATTCTTGAGGTTGTTTTTTCTGATCAGTTTATTAAAGATCCTACTTATGGTAAAGAGTATATGGTCAAAAATACAGTTGTGGACAAACCAATAGATTAGTTACAATCATAACATTATTGCCCTACATGCAGAACTTTCTATTAAAGCTAATTATAGTATTAACAAGTCTTTTCCTCAATTTTAGAAAAAATAAATGCTGATATTTGAAGAGAGTGAGTGGGTGCCTACTTTTCATGGGAAAATACTGTTGAAGACTGGGATGTTGTATTAGTTTGATAACCTATGTGAAACAGAATGTGATTAGTGGTCTTGATAAACCATTACTTGTTGGGCTTATTAATCACTTGAATATTTTCCCATGAGACTTGGATAGTTGAAATAATCAAAAAACAGTAATGATCAAAAACACTAACTTTGATTAGTTGGTTATTTTCATGAGATTAATTGAGGAATAAATGCATGAAAAAAAGTATTAAAAAATGTGAAAAATGATAAGCTTACAAAAATATATGAAACCTCTTAGTAAAATTAAAATTTACTAAAATGAAAAGAAAGCTCGTTATGACATAAATATCAAGTCTGACTGACTTCAATGATCTTTATTTTTATGTAAGTGCATTATCAGAGTAAAGGTTAAGGACTAATCTTCTTAAAGGAAACATTAAAGAGAACAGGAACACGACTTAAATGTTAAACAATTTTTAGGTGTAATAGAAGAGATTTCCAAGAAGGTCATTTTATTAAAAACAGAAAGAATTGTATCTTAAATTAAACATGTATTAATTACAAATAACATAACAATGTTTAGGAAGAACAAGGGACCTATTTGGTCCATCTAGGCTGTCCCATTCTCTAAACTAAAACTCTTCAAAAAATATATAAAAACCCTCAAAGCCATCCCTTATCATTCATATAGCTATCAGGCTTTCTCTTAAACTCACTTAAATTTAATGCCTCCACAACATCTGAAGCAACCTGTTCCAAAGGCCAACTACTCTTTTAGAAAAATACAACTGTCTTTTTGAAGATGACTCCTACCCTGCCAAAATTTATATTTATGCCCCTAGTCCTACCATTCTCCCAATTAAGTATGAAAACAGATGATGCATCAATACTATCAATTCCCTTAACAAGTTTAAACACCTCAATCAGATCACCTCAAACTCTTCTTTTTTTCAAGAGAAAACAATTTCAGATATCTTAACATCTCCTTGTATGACAACCCCTCCATAGGAGGGTTACAAGAATGTTACTCAATGTCTTTCCTGAGGTAAGGAGACCAAAATTAAACACAATACTCCGAATGTGGCCTAATCAATGACCTATACAATGAAATTATAAACTCTTAAGACTTGTGTTCACTATTTCTGCAGATACAACCTAAAATTCTATTTGTTCAACCACTAGTAACAGTAGACTGCTTGGATGGCTTCAGAGACTGATCAACCAGTACACCAATATCCATTTCTTTCATAACATTATCAAGGTTATTCCCATCCAAATTATACTTATAATTCAAATTATGATAACCCACATACATTATCTTGCATTTATTGTACTCAAAACCCACTTGCCATTTATTCACTCAACTCACTAAATGACCTAAATCCTAAACAGCATCCTCCTCCTCATAACCACCAACAACTTTTCAAAGAATTTTTAAAGATTTGTAAGGCAAGATTTTCCCTTAGTGAATCCATGTTGAATATCCAATAAAATTCTAAACTTTGTTAAACAACTTTGCAAAGCATCTTTTATCAGACTTTCTAAAACTTTTCACACAAGGTGACTTTCTAACCTTGAAACCCATTACGTATTACTGTGACTCACCTAAAGATTCAGCTTCTTGACTATCATTTTTATGTCTTTATTCCCAACAGGATGAAGTTCATTTTACCATCTCTTTTAAAAAGATACAACTCAAGCCTTGAACTCATCCATCTTATTCCGAACACTCCTCGCATCAGAATAACAGCAACAAAGCTTATCATAAATTTGACTGACCTATCTTTGAAACTATTACTAAACTTACACTCTTAAATATTTTCCCAATTTCCTTGTTGCCGTTGCAATTTTAATTTAATCTGTCATTAATGAATTTCTTTAGAGCTTCCCTGAATATTTTGTTACTTAGCATTCTAAAGTGGAGCCCTGCTCTAGCATATAATTCACCCTAGTCTTGAACACTATCCTAAATGTTTGACCAGCTCAATGTTTCATTTAAACACTTAGCCTTAGATCTTGCTATGTAAGTTGTTCGTACATCTAGCCTGGGTGAGTGAAAAACTCCCAACATGGTTACACTCATATAACCTTTGAGGGACAATACATTGCACTTTGGCCAATCATGAATGACCCAGTCATTTCATCAAACATCCATCTGCCTATATCCAGCTCTAACTCTCCCAAATCCTCATTAAGCCCTCTCTTAAGCTCTTCCATTCCTGATATGTTTACCATATCTGAAGGCAATCTATTCAAAGGGTTCACCACCATGTTTGAAAAATCAAATTGCCTAATTTTCAAATGACTCTACCAAATCTTTAATATGTCTCCTAGTCTTATCACTATTATCATTAAACACAAAAAAGATGATGTGTCACACCTATCAGTTCCATTTATAAGTTTGAATGTCCACCAACAGACCCTCTCCAACCCTTCCTTTCTCAAGATAAAATAGTTTAAAAGACCTTAATCTGTCCTAATATGACATCCCCATCATCTCAGGAGTCATCACTGTAACCCTCATTTCAACCCCCCTTCCAACAACTCAATAATTAATTTTGCAAGTAGCATAATTAAATTCTACCTGTCATTTATTTGCCCAACTTGCCTAATGATCCAAATCTCTTTGTAAATTGACAACATCTTTCTCATAGCCAAATACACCCAAATTGAATATCATCAGCAAAATTCACTAATTTGCTGACCATTTACTTTAGAAACATTCAAAACTTACAACAGGCAAACAGTGGTTTCTATGTCTGAGTATGAAATGTTTAAATGTGACTGTAACTAGAAGTTCTAGTCAGAGACCAGTAGGTTGTTCATGTTACAATGACAGCACTTCAAAGACTGGTAGACAAGTATTTCCATTTTATTTCTGCACCTAACATGCACGGTTCGATGAAGGATGGTAGCATTGGTCTGGAGAAGCTTCCACAAGAAGGTGCTTCTACTGGTGGAAGTTCCCCAACCAGTGTCACCACCCTTCAGCAAACCACACATATTAAATGCAGAAATAAATTGTAAACACTTATTTACCAGTCTTACATAGATATGGAAGAGTTGAGATTTGATAATTTCTATTGTAAAAAAAGAAATATAAAGGAGTTGTTCATACATTTTAAGTGAGTCTTCTGATGAACATCTTCTATCATCATTCATGCCTAGAAGCACTACAAAAAGAGAATGCCCCTTAGTATCTAAAACTGAACTGTCAACACAATAATGTGCTTTACTTTAGCATATGGTAAGCAAATTCTAATCCTAGTTTTTCTATGCTCCCTACTACAAACAACTTTATCAAAATACTTAACAAGGGAGTTCACAATATCTACAACTCTTAATCACCTCCTTCCTCATTACAAGCAACCAAGTTCAAATCTATTAACTGTTACTTCAACACTAATTGCCTCTTATAAATCTTTCTTTTTTCACTACTATGTACACTTGTGAATTTATCAAAGTTATCTCTTAGTCTAAGTTTAACATCTCAAGCAAACAAGATATGCAAAAGCAGAAGTACTTTAAAGATGTTTAAATGGGTATCAATGATTTTTGAATAATAAAATACAGTTTCAATTTTTACTTTTTCCAAAAGTAGGTGTGCAAGAACAGCCTTGAATGATCAAATGGTCCCTTTTGTTTGTATAATATATGTTATGCTACTCAACTAACTATATCATCAGTATATCTGTATGTTTCCGAGCTTTTTAAAAACTCAGCCAAGTCCAAAATTCTCAAATAAATATAATTTAACTAAACCCTAGCACCTATTACACACTTCTTATCTCTGAACCACCTCCAACCATACAATTAGTATTGCTAAGTCTGAAATTATTCTATCGTTAATCTTAACAGTCTCAATTTTACTAAACTTTTGAAATTATATAAATTGTTAAGCAGACAGCTGTTTTACGAAGACGTGAGTTATATAATAAGTTATATTATAATTTATATCACTATCACTATGTATTTCACTATTTCAATATTTGTATGTATCATACTCTACATAATGAACACAGGTTTTTCCCAATTTCGACATGAACTTTGAAAAATTCTTTTATCAATACCACACCTAATTAACTGGAAAACACGACTATTTATATTATATAAATATTTACCCAAATTTATGTTTAAAACCTGCCTATTCGTTTCTTATATTGAGGCCTGATTACATCTGATTCACTAAATTAATTTTCTTACTCATACGTTTCTTTTTACTAATGGTTTTATTCGCTAGGGGAAAATTGTTATATTCTGCTGTTGTCTAGTGTTTATGTTAATACAGAAAATTTAATAATAATTAATAACTAAAAATATGAAAAGCAAATTTCAACATAAATATACATATTTTATTCAAACAAAGCGGAAATATACGATGTAGAACCAAAGAAGAAATAATATTTCGTTCTTTAAGTTTCACTACAATAAGAACGAAACTGGGAGGTAGAATTTCTATACTAAGGTTATTTAAAAATGCGAATATATAATAAGTAATTTCCAGAACAAACAACAACAAAAAAACAAAAAAAAACATGAAAGCATTCATGTTGAAGAAAACAATGTAGAAAAGATAAACGATCACCACTCAACACTTCAGAAAAGTGATGTCATCAAGAATGAAATTACTTACTCTT